TCATAGAATCATGGAATAGTAAGGGTTGGAAAGGACCTTAAGATCATCCAGTTCCAACCCCCCTGCCATGGGCAGGGACACCTCACACTAAACCATGGCACCCAAGGCTCTGTCCAACCTGGCCTTGAACACTGCCAGAGAGGGAGCATTCACAACCTCCCTGGGCAACCCATTCCAGTGCCTCACCACCCTCACAGGAAAGAATTTCCTCCTTATATTATTTTTGCCTTCTCTGGAAGTTCTGTTGTTGTTGCCCTCCCTCCCTCTCCCTTTTCCTTGACTGGGTGTTCAGATAATTGGGCCGTTGGTAAATGTCTGCTCTAAAAAAATAATTTAAAAGGTACTAATGACTTCTGTCAGCTACATGTGAGTTATAAGGAAATAGCTCCTGCATCTACATACAGTCTGGGCCTGCTCTGAGGCTCTTCTCTGCCCAACCTGTAGCTGTGCCTGGGATTGCTCCGACCCAGGTGTAGGACCTTGCACTTGGCATGGTTAAACCTCATGAGGTTGGCATGAGCCCACCTCACAAGCGCGTCAAGGTCCCTCTGGATGGCATTCCTTCCCTCCAGGGTATCAACCGAACCGCACACAGCTTGGTGTCATCGGCAAACTTGCTGAGGGCGCACTCAATCCCACTGTCCATGTCAGTGACGAATACTTTGCAATGTGTATATATTTTGAAAGTGTATTCAAGTCTGTGCACTCATCCTGTCCTTTCTAAAGTACAGTTCTTCCCACATCTACAGCACTCACTCATACTAAAGCCATGACCACAAATCTACATATAGGAAGAACTGGTAATGACCCAGTTCTGCTATTGACTGAAACTTTAAAGCTGGTGGGTTTTGATTATTTGTGAGGTTCTTTTTGATGTTGTTGGCTTATTTGCGAGGGTTTGTTTGATATTATTGGGTTGGTTTGAGCATGTTATAAGTAAATTTTGCTGGGTGGCACAATCTGCCCTAGAAATATCAATAATGTAATAGCTGCAGTGAAAAAAAGCACGTTATTTTTCCAGTACTTATAAAGTTGACACAAATCACCTTTATGTTCTATAGCTAAATATAAATTATAGCTAAAAACATACTTTTATTTACAGGGGGATATAAAAGAACAGAGTAAGAACTCTCTTCCAGTAAAAAATTACTCTCTGCAGTACATTTTCTCTTGATTTGGCCAGCCCTTAGCTAGGTATCTCCAGTGCTATGGTTCTCCCTTAGAGATTCATGGGCTACATCAGTGAGAAACTTCTAATGATAGTCAGCCAGATTCTCCTTTTCTCCAGATTACCTGATGAGACCTTGATCTATATCATAGCTCAGAGCAAAAACTGCAGTGCCTCGTGTTGGCTGGCACTCCCTTATTCACTGCACTGACAGTCATACTTTCAGCTTGTAAGGAAATGACTTTCCCCTCTGAAGTACAGTGTTAGGAAGTCATTTACTGAAGCAAAAATGCAAAAAACATGGCCAGGATGCTGTTTTGAGTGTGTTTCTCTGGTTGGATATATTGCTTGGAGAATATCTGGGGGGAGATATCTAACGCTTAATAGGGTTATTACATTTAAGCACTGCCTCAGCCTAATGGGACCCTTTTTGCTTGGTACTGTGGACTTGCACAGCAAGAAACTGTCCTCACTGCAGTTGATGTTATATACCATTTCCAGTGAAACTTGGGAATTCCTGCTACAGGCTAATACTGTCCTGTAAAAAGCACTGTAGGGACAATGATGAGAAAAAGTTCCAGGTAACATTCAAAACAGTCAAAAAGTGGGAATAGGAACAGAATAAAAGCATTAAAATTATTTATCCAACATCATGCAACAAGACAAATGACCTTTTCTGAATAAGGTGCAGGTTTTCTGATTCTCACTCTTGTTCAGTGACAACAAGATGCTGCTTTTCCCAAAACCACAATTTCTACAATGACCCTTTGCTTGTTTTCCGGTTTAATTTTATAACCATGAATTACAGGGACTTTGTATTGCCTTTCTCCATACCTATACACTGCAAAACGTGATTTGTAGATGGGTGTGAAAATAATATCCCAATGTCCTAATCTATCACTATCCAGTTATGACATGGAAACTATAACAGAGTTTTAAATTCCCCTGTGAGATGTGAGACCTAGAAATCTTACAGCAGCAGATGAGGACAATGGCATCCTTAGTCTGTGAAGAAAGATAGCAACATAGAGTTTGCTTATGTCAGTCCCCTGAATACTCTATATATGACCTCAAATACAGGTCAGAGGGGTTAACTTTCTTAAATCACCTCCCTCATTTGCACAGAAAGTATTTATACTGATAAATAATTAACACATAAGAACCTCTTGCCAATTTTATTATAAGATTCATGATTAAATTATATTTCATGTCTTAGGAAACAGCAAACTGTTAACCAAGGTCAGGCCACATTTCAGCCAGTCCTGGAGGAAATCTGTCATTTATCTGACAACTAAAAACTACGCTAAACTGAAAAAGCCAAGCACTCAAACGCCAGCTAGTGAGAGAGAGCAAAATTACCTCCGAGTCAGACCTCAGCCAACTCAGAGAACCCAGACAAAACTGTAGGTGCTGGCAAGCACAAACTTTGTGATCCCTGTGCTTTCCTTATATGTAGACAGCAGGTACATGATCCCCAAGGAGTCTTGTAGCATCCCCACTGAGATCCTGCCAGATGACACTTCCTGAGTGACTCGAGTTCTTATTCAAAGGAATCATTAGTCTGTGTTCCATAATTAATGCTTGGGTTCTCAACTGTCCTTTGAGCTGTGAGTCAAATCTGATGGAATCTACGCATGTAAATACCACCTGCCCACCCTAGCTTCACTGCCTGGAAAACACCTACCCTCCCTTCTTTGTGTCTACTGATCCTGCCTGAATTGTAGCTATGCCATGAAGATGCTTTGAAGCTACTCAATGGTAAGCACGTAACTTGGCTAGCGAGGATCTAGAAGTCATGCATGTCATCACATATACAGTACTTCACTGTACTTCCTAAGGCACCTTTGGGGCAGTTCCCCTCTGGAAGTCAATATTTTCACATTGGCAGCAGTTACCTTCAGAAAACCCCATCAAAACAACCTCAAAGGTAAGGCTGCTGAAACTGAGATCTCTTTGCTTCAATGGCAATGAGCAGGTCTGGCCAGGCTGTTGGAAAGAAGTCAGATGATTACCCAGCACAGCCCATTCTAGACTTGCATTTTATTTGAAACTAAGAGTTAGAAAACCTGGGTTTAGTCTCTTAAATGACCAGTGAGACTGTGACCTCAGCACACAGCTCCGTGTTACTTCCAACATAGACCTATGGTGCTGCTAATGCAATTCAGAGCATGCAGAAGGAGACTGAAAACAGAGCCAAGTGCCACTGGGGCTCTCAGAGCACTAATGGAGAAGGAACAGCAAATTCAATGAGGACAGAGGTAATCAGGCTGTTCTGATGGAAACTTGTGGCTACCTTATTGACACCAGCCTGACTGCTGAAGGCTCAAACAGCTGATTATCTGTAGCTCAAAGCTGCTGCAGTTATGGGTCTGAAGAACTGTGGTTATTCAAGGGGGGGGGGAGAAGTTACCACCAGAAGAGTTTCCAGTTAATAGAGCTACTCAAGATAACATTGTTGAAGGGAGGTGTCTCCACATAATCCCAATTTGACTGTACATCCCACAGAAGTATTCCTGTTTATGCTAATGTTATCTCTACAATTATACTAATTACTGGCTTTATTATGCTAAACAATCACTTTATTTAGGTAATTCTGAAGTAATTCTAGACTAATTAGCTCAGACTTAATCACACATAAGGGAAAGATAAACTGGGAACACACTGACAAACAAGCATGATTTAAACCATAGAGCTTCTTTTCAGAAATATGCTAATAATATAGATCAACTTCTAATACCACTGATGCTTTCACATTTGGAAAGCTTGCTTTTGAAGTTAATTCTTTAAACATTATTTCACATGCAGATATAGCACATCTGAGTCCACAAACAAATCTGAAGGCATGCATGCAGTTGCAGCCAATGAAACATGCACAACTGTATGCCAAGTTTTCTTAGTTCGAACATTCTTAGGGGTGGGTTACGGATAAGCATTATTAGCACGTTGTCTGGTGGAACCATTCAGTGAGATGAAGAACGCAGATTTTTTGTAAAAAACTGTTTCTAGCTTATATAAATTAAAAAATAAAAATAAAAATTAGAGCAGAATATGCAAAGAGCCCAAGATGAACCTCAGAGTATGAACTGTCTTTGCATCAGACTTCTGAAAGTTGCTGCTTCTCCAAAACCAGATGAATTCATGATGCGACTGTGATGCTACTAAAGTGTACTTTTCCTCTCACTTTGAATTGTTTTAATGTAACCTACATCCTAATTCAGATAAAATTTATTTTAAAATGTACTCGCCGTGATGATGAACACAATAAATGTCAAAAGACTTTAAACTGCAAAATCACTGTTTCTAATTTTAACATTCTTCATTAGTAGTGTCTCCCCTCTATCTCTAAATCAACCTCAGTTCTATATGCAGTGATCATGTTATCAACATTATATATATACATATATATACATATACACCCAGCCTACTGCATCTACTCACAATTCACTGAGTCAGTCAGCAAAACTATTCATTTTGCTTGAATTATTCCTACAGGAAGGTGTTTACTTCTTTGTAACCAAAGCGTGACTTTGGGGCAACCCATGATTTACTACACTGTCAGAAAAACAGGCAATAATACTGTATGAAAAATACCTGCAAAATAGCTGAAAACTATTACACCAAATACCATCATTCAATCCTTTAGTTTCGGGAGAAAATAGCTAAACAGAGTTCTAAAAATCCAAAGATTTCACTGGGATTTTGTGTCTATTTTAAATTCATTGTAAGCAACAGTGAAACTTCCACAGATTTTACTCCAGACACGAGTAGACAAGGATGTCTAATTGCATATACAGGTGATGATCTGCAGAAATGAAAGGAACAAATAATGTACCTCATCTCCCCGGAGACACAGAGAAAATAAAGTCCTTTTCCTGCTGGACTTCAGTGTTACTGAACTGCTGGCCTGTCCTACTGGGTATTCTGGCAGCTTTTCATTACAGATGAAACTCTTTCCTATAGCAAGCAACAGTGTTTGCTGAAACTCTCATTATTTCTGCTTATTGAACTTATGTCACCACAAAGGAAATGCGTTTAATCTTTAATTTGTCATTAATTTAGTACTTTCAGATTAACAAGAGACCCATACACCCTGTAGCTGGCTGTCTATAATTTTTCCTTATGCTTTCTCACACCTTGTGTAACAGCTTAGCCTGAGCTTCTGTTTGTGAAGGTATCTCACTGTTTCCCTTATAGGCATCCTTGGCATTTGCTCTTAGTGCTCTGTGGTGTGATCTGAATAGCAACTTTCAGGATAACTACCTGTGGCCTCACTGAGCTGTGAAATGAATCAGACACAGGTAACAGCTTTCCTGTCATCCTGGCATGAATCAAAATTCCCTCAGTCCCCAGATGCTGAGAGCCACAATTTATTATTCAGGATTCAGGGGAAAGATGCCAGTGAACACATGGCTTTCCCTTAGGAACCATGGCACAAAACTGAAGAGCCTCAAATATTAAACTTCCCATTTCAGATGCTACTATTGGGAAAGAGAGGAAAGGATGCTGATGGTCAAACTGGGAAGTGGAAAAACTCGCTTCCAAGTCGCTGCTTATTACAACAGCTCCTGACAAATGGCAGTTCTGGTTCTGTGTGGTATTGGAATGCGTGGGAGCCATATGTTGCAGTGAGGATTCCTTCAGCCTAATGGGCTGGGATTCACAAGTGCATGAATAAGTGAACAAACTGGCAGCGTTACAGTGAGTAGGCTCAAAACTACCTTCATGTGAATAGCGAAGCCTTATGAGCTACCGCCTGATGCTTAGCTCTCTGCTTTAATAGTAACCTTTAAAGGTTACTAGTAATCTTGCAAATGTGCAAAAGCAAATTTGAAGGATTCCCCAAACCTTCCTCCACAATTGCCTGTGGATGTATTATTGTCTTTTAGCTCACTTCTCCCCCACCCCCTTCTTTTAAAACCATTAGAACTTTTTTCTTTGAATCACTAAGAAGAGAATAAAAATATTTCGGAGAGAAAAGAGAGCAAGGTGAGAAAAAGAGGTGGGCTGCGTGATGTGATTCTGACCCATGAAAAATGAGTCACTGGTCATGAAACTGAATGCTCATAAAGGAATGAGACAAAAAGAAGAGGAGGAAAAATAGACAAAGATGTTAGTATAGTAACTGGAATCTGTTGAAAATCACTGCTTTAAAGTAAACCAATTTATGATGCCTCCAAACTAGGACTATGTGGTAGTGTAACTTTTAAAAAGGATTTTCTCCCCCCCACAAGAACAGTCATTAGATGATCACAACCCAGCAAGAAAATCACCACCAGCAGAATTCAGAGAAACATAAACTTACTATGAGCTAACAGAATTCAGATTGCTACTGGCAAGAGTATAAATTCAATGCAGGGAATATAATGATTACTGCTTCGCCTTTCAAAAAGTCCATGTTAACCCCTTCTGTTGCCTCAAACTCCGTGTATTGAATGCTTGCTGCTGTTCTTTAATAATCTTAAACAGAAATTGCTATGGTTTATTTTGGTGGTCAGAGGAAAAGGGAATGCACACAAAAACTGATATAAGCAGTAGCTTGGTGGTTAGCACATGCTCCTGGAAAACTAGCGTGGGTTTAACTCCATCACCTGCCAAGGAAGGTCAGGCATTGCTTTGACAAGTTCTTTAACCATAATGCTGGTTTACATAAGGCAAGTATCAAATGGTCTCTCTTGTCCTCCTCCTCCTTATCCCATCAGCTGGGTTTTCAAAATAAAGATGTCTATTACAAAAGATTCAATTGCATCAGTATGTCAGGATTGCTTGGAACCTATTCAGGCATCAGCACCTTGTAGACCCCAGCATGACCCAGAGCAGCATGACCAGTGAACCAATGGCTTTGTTAAATTGTTAACCCGTAAGGAAACCAGGCACACCACTAAGCAGAGAGCTGACAAACTGCAGTTTCAGCCTCCTAAAATAGGATTCCCATTGATTTTAGTCACCCGTGAGGCTCTCAGTCTAGTCTCGCCGTCTAGTTTCTCTTACCACTTATGAGAGATGGACACCCTCAGAGGGCAGTACAGCCCACTAGCGTACACAGTCTTTTCTAGGATAGCAAGAAGTTTCTTATCTACTGGATACTGATAGATTGAAGTAGACCAAATTCCTCCCTTCATGGGTTAAGTTCGTTCATGTAAGCTGACTCCCACCCAAAGAGACATCCCACATCTGGTTTTAGATACCTCCATTCCATTTCAGATGTCATCCAGAGACCTGCTGCTGCTCTCCTCCCCAGCCTTTCCTGAACACATAGACATACTCTTTCCACAGGAGCTGGCAGGGACATAAACCAGTCTCCAAGGTGTATATTTCCACAGAACAATGATTCTTGTTATGAAAAGGCATCAGAACACAGGCCGGTGGACACAAAAGTTTCTGCGTATTTGACGTTTCTGCTTTGAAGTGGATTTGTAACTTGTAACTCCTTTGAGCCCAAAATCATGGTGATGAAGTCCAGCGGTAAATGGAATCTCATTTGGTAGAATTATCCTCTATCAGTAAACCCAGGTTTGTTCTCTTTTGCAACAAAGTTAACAAAAAGTACACTGATACCTGGGATTATTCCCCCAGTCAGGACTAAGGCAATAAAGAGACTTTCACAGCTGAGCTGCCCCAGCAGATGATAATTACAGCCTTGACTCTCCTTTCACCCAAGAGAAAATAAAACACAACAAGAGAGGAATGACACAGTTGTGGAAAATGCAACCTGCAGAATGCCATCAACTAAAAAGTGCATCACGCTTGTGCTAAACATTGAATAATCACACTTCTGCTCTGTCAAATCCTGCAACGATCGCAGATACTCAGTTATGCTTGCAGGTTACACTTACGCACCTCTGGAGACTAAATTCAGGCATTAATTGATTTAAACCTTTGAAACCTTCTCCTTTAGGAATTTTGACCTGATCCTTTTGTTGCAAACTGTTCATTGCTTAACCAGGAGCAAATGTTAACTTCTTTTCAGTAGAGAGGGACTTCACGGACATCCACCAAAAACACGATGCTCCCCACTTTTCTCTATAATGATATGGATTCTGCAGAGGAAAGAGCTGCTGCAGAACCACCCAGTCAGGAATAATGAATATTGAATCTTGTGAAGCAACAGAAACTATCCAGAATAAAATCTGTCTGCAAATAACTCTGAAAATGATCAAGTGGTGTGGATATTTTTTTCCTTAAAAAGAGCCTTGGCAGCAGGCTTGCAGCCTTTAAATACTGTGTTGAGATATGACCTTGTTAGCTCAACGCTTTTCTGTAAGCTCTAAGTTAGTGGTGCCACCAGAGACATCAGGCATCTTTTGTAACATGTTTTTGTCTTGTGGATTTTAAATGTGACCGCTTGCCATTTAAAAATGATGTTAAAAGAGACAAAGCAGACATTCATAGAATCATAGAATCAACCAGGTTGGAAAAGACCTTTAAGATCATCAAGTCCAACCGTTCCCCAGCACTGCCAAGGCCACCACTAAACCATGTCACTGAGAGCATCGTCTACATGGTTTGTGAACACTTCCAGGGACAGTGACTCCATCACTGCCCTGGGCAGCCTGTTCTACTGCCTGAGCACCCTCTTGGTGGAGAAACTGCCTCTAATCTCCAGTCTAAACCTCACCTGGTGCAGCTTGAGGCCATTACCTGTTGCTTGTTAGTTGGGACAAGAGACCAGCACCCACCTCACTTCAACCTCCTTTCAGGCTGTTTTAGAGATAAGGTCCCCCCTGAGCCTTCTCTTCTGAGGCTTTTTAGAGATAAGGTCCCCCCTGAGCCTTCTCTTCTGAGGCTTCTTAGAGATAAGGTCCCCCCTGAGCCTTCTCTTCTCCAGACTGAACTACTACTAAAGATACTGGAATTACCAACACAAAAGCCCATGTGCATTGCAGCCACACTTCCCATTGCACTGTCAGGATCCTTCAGTCTGTGCAGACAGGAGGATAAAGATTGTTAGTTATAAGAAAGGCATTTAATAAAATAGAGTAACAATTTGAAAAGAAGCTATTTCCTTGTTATTGATGACGTAAGGAAATCTAGTAAGGGATGGATTCATTGAAAACAGTTAATTGAAAATAGCTCGTTGAAAATAGCTAATGAGCTACCTAACGCTCCAAGCAAAACAAAGTTTAATTAAAATCAATTACTTCACTCTCTTATGAAAAAAAGTATAGATCAGCCCCACTTGAAACAAATACCCCTGACATCTGCAATGGGAAAGTGGTCTCAATTGCTCTGGAAAGAATCTTATAGCAGATACACAAGGCTATGTTGCTTTGATCAGAGACATAAGGGGAAAAAAGTCTACTTCTCTCTATCCTCCTTGCATGCTTTTTCATCACCTCATTTTCTAAATTTAAACAACAAAGAGTGGGCAAATCAATTCTGGTGGATTAGCTTTAATTTTTTTAATAACCAAGTCATTAATGGACTCTAACCCAGTCTTCCTCATGTCCTCATGGATGGGCTCTTCCCCTTGCTGCAGTCTGAGACACACTTAACCACTCTGGTAATGGCAAATTTGTTGTGTCTACAGAGAGCCCAGTGCACATACCCATAGGCCAAGCTGCTAGGAAGCACTTTGTGCTTTCCTCACTGAAGAAGTCATTCTGTTTTCCACTGGCTTTGACAGATCTGTGTTCAGCCCTTGCAAAACAGGTTTAAAACCTTGAAACTTCGGCTCTTTGTACTGAGGCCCACAACTGTACAAGTTGCTCCAACTTTTCAAAGCCTACAATACTGTACAACATCTCCTTCCACCGATTCAATGCCATCCATCTTTCAGATATTCATGGTTAAAGTGACTGTTTCCTTCCATGACACTTAAATAGCCTGTGGTACATGAGAGATGAAGAGGCTGTGACTCAGCTGTGTTTATACATGGACAAGGATGCTTAAGATCACCTTTTTTTTTTCCTTATGTTGGTGAACCAGCAGTGTTACTAAGCCTTCATCTTG